TGTCCAAGAACCTGAGCATCAGCTCTGGTTTTCATTCAAAATAAAAAAAATGTCTATGACATTCTTAAAGGGGTCATATGATGCGATTTCAAGTTTTCCTTTCTCTTTGGAGTGTTACAAGCTGTTCATGAATAGATAAGATCCCTAAAGTTGGCCAAGGCCCGCCCATGAGGCTGTTTGTCTGATATGTCAAACAACCAACCACAGTTCGTTTCATTCAGCATCACGTTTCGGGGCATGGAAATGTCGCCACAATAACAGACCGGTGTGTAAAACTCTCGGACGTATTTTAAAGTTTCTATGTCGCAAACTTTAAATATTTCACATACTTTTGAAACTCCAGCGTTTAGTTGATCCTGATAAGCGCTCCTCGTCACAGTTGTAAACACTACAGTTTTCTTCTTTCGTGAGGGGGTTTGGCGTCATGGCATCTTTGTTTCTAGGCGGAACGTTAAAGAATGTGACGCACACGTCTCCCTGAAATCCTGTAGATTTCAACCAATCCGATGACGACTTCGAGACTCCTGAAGTGTTTCCACTTTTGTGTCCCATATGCATCAGACGTTTAGCCAACGGTCCGTGGGCATGATGTCTGAGGCAGAGACTATGTGTTTCATTGCGAAAGCGAAAATACTTTGTTTGGCCTTCCAAAAGAGGACACGACTAGAAATCAGTGGTTAAGTTGTATTTACAACAATGTTCCAGAACAGTTCAACCCAAATATTCAGATGTGTGCAGAACATTTTATGGAGGACTGTTTCCTGATCCTGGTAGAGTAGACTACAATGCCGGCTGTTCTGACTCACAGACTGTAAGTACGTTTTCATATTTAAAGAATTTGCCACTGACGATTCAAACGCGAGTTTTGAGCAGTGTAGAGTAGCGCTTGTTGTTTGTCATTTCTCCGATCACAAATGCAGACATGGTTTTATGTTTACGCACCGCGATGCAACGCAATGCGTAAAAAGACAGTATAAGTCATTATAATCTGTAATTATGTCCCCACTGGATGCAACAAATGCCTCGTTTATAATGCGTTTTATTGGTTTTGTCTCGTCGCTCTGGCCGGACACGGCATCACAGTCATTATGCATCACAGGGCTGTCATTATGCTCATCAAACAACAAAACACGTTTTTGACAAAAATAAATCTATATTTAATTTATACAGTGAACACTATGCAGTTTTATTTTACACTTAATCATTACATTTCTGTACCTGAATACTAGCGACCTTATTTTATTTGTAACACTGATCTGTTGTATTTATCTATGTGTCACGTTTATGTTTCTGTTCTATCTGCCTTGACCTAGTTTTCCTGTGTTCCTTGATTAGTTAATTCGGTTCCACCTGTTTATTCATTTATCTCATTTGTCTCTGCTCATTTAAGCCCTGTGTTCTCCTGAGTTCCTTTGTCCTGTATTAGTTTGCGCTTAGATGTTTGTCCTTTTCCTCCTGGTTTATTCTCCTGAGTTTGTTTGAATTAAAGACTGTTTGGTGGATTACTCCTGCGTTGTGCGCTTATCTACAGCCACAAAGCTTGTAATTTATGTATTTGTTCTTATTTTTACTGGCTGTTCACTTGTCTTTAATAATGTTTGAACTTTCTTAGGCTAAGCGTTTTTGCTGTGGTATCGAAGAAGTACTTATGGAAGGCAAAGTTACATTGAATTTTTTATTTTTTATTCTCTTGCTGATCCGAAAAATGATCTGATCCGTGGCTCAAAATGTAATATGATCTGAACCATGAGATTTGTGATCCTTTGAACCACTAATGTATTTGAAATACATTTATTTCATGCTAAGTGTACTACAAATACACTTACATAATTATGTACTTAATGAAAATACCCTGCAATTGTACTTTTGGTGTACTAAACTGGTATACTTAAAGTCTGCTAAATTGGAACAACTAATTTTGTACTTGATTCACATTAATTGTGCTGAAGTAAACATGTACTTAAGTATATTTGATTGTGCTAAAGTGGAACTACTGCAAGTATACTTCAGGTACACTTTAAATATCTTGCTATTAAAATCCGATATTATACAGCGATCATACAATCCTCCTCAATAGTGACATTTAAAACACATTTTAGGCTTAATATTAAGAAATGTGCTTTGTGCACAAGTAGTATTTAAAAAAAAAAAAAGTTTTTTATAATTTATTTTTCTCGATAATAAAATGACAGCCTTTACCTTTAGGGATTTAAAACAAATTGGAGTTTATCCTAATTTTAAGATATTGATGATGACGTTTAAGAACATTCTTTTCAAGGATTTGAATTCTTCAAAAGAATCTTTTTTTTTTTGTTTTTTTTGGTAAATCCAGTGTATTCAGTGTATATGATCTTAATCCACTTCAACACATTCTGACTGCATGTTATAAATCAGAAGAACTAAAGTAAAAAGTTCAAGTTTAACTTGAGAGATATCCAAAGAGCGATCATGAGAAAGCGAGGATAAAAAGTGAAGACCTGAGATTCTATATCTCCTCTGTCAGCCTGGTGCTTCAAATACTGCACAATGTCGCCCAGCTCGCCCGTTTGAGTATGGAGCTCATCGTCACTGTCATTAAATGAACATGTTCTGTGAGAGTTTGCTGCAGAGAAGAGACAAATTTATACAAGATTAGTTCACATCAAAAAAACAATGCAAATCCACATACACAAAACACTGTACAAACCAGCAGTAATCCAGGATGTTCAGTTGAGTCAGCCTGAGACAGCGAGTCTGGGTGTGTCTTTGTTTACAAATGTTTCAGTCCAATGTTTCATTAACAACCAACTTTACACACTTCAGCAGTGTCGTTTTTCTAAATATTTGACTGTGCTCGCTGATAAACAAGAGATCCATCTGATACTAAGCCACCATTTTATTAGCAAATGAGCATTTGCAAATGTAATTCCCTTACGTTCTGTAGTCTGTAGTGAATGCATGATTCAAACTACATTTTACTGACTGAAATCAAATTTAATTAAGTGTCTTTAGACAAGTATGTTTGGTAAGCTGAATTGATGAAATTAACCATGTTGTATTTTTCACTAAATAACATTCTAATTTGATAGTATTTCTGGTAGAAATGTAATCTTTGTATTCATGTTTGTTTCATATATTTTTGAATATATATATATATATATATATATATTAGTGCTGTCAAACGATTAATCGTGATTAATCACATCCAAAATAAAAGTTTTTGTTTGCATAATGTGTGTGTTCTGTGTAAATTTATTATGTATATACAGTATAAATACACACACATACATGTATTTACATGTCTATATTTATATTCATATATTCAATATATACATGCATGTGTGTGTATTTATATATATACATAATAAATATACACAGCACACACATATATTATGTAAACAAAAACTTTTATTTTGGATGCGATTAATCGTTAGACAGCACTATTGTGTGTGTATATATATATATATATATATATATATATATAAACAGAATTTTTTATTTCACTGTCAAATGTTGTGACTACTAAAATGTTCTTAACTACTACTAATTTTTTTTAGGTTTTACCATATGACAGCATCGTTAAGATTGCCATGTAATAAAACAGTAAAAAAAAAAAAGAAACATTATTAAAAGTTTGTCAAAGTTTTTTTAAGGCATTTCAGCCTTTCACTGAGACTTTTCTTGTTACAAATTTGGTTATTAAAGGGTATTAAAGTCATCATCTGTAAAAATGCATGTATAAATACAAGTAATGTTTTGGGATTTTTTTTTTTCTTTTTTTGTAATGTATATGTGTGCCACAACAATGTAATGTCTTTATATTATCTTCATTTAGGGTTTGGTCTTAGCAAATAATATATGTGATTATTTGTGATCAATCTGATTAATTAATAAAGTCATTCAAGTAACTGAAATTACAGCCCTAGTTTACAGTGATTCTTTTGAAATAATTCTATTATCAAGGTAAATACAAACATCCAGAGCTGGTTTAAATGTAACTTATTTACTATACCTATAAAGTCATTAACATTTTCATTTACAAACATTACTAATCTCTGTAGACAAATGTGTAACTCACCCAAGAGTCTTGTACTTTATCACGGTCGATGCTGGTCTGTTTGCCGATGTTGGCATAGTAGCCGTAAGCTGTGTTCTGGTCTTTAGGGAAACCGTCCAGACCCTGCATGTGCTTGTATCCCAAATGCATCAGAGCGAGACGGTCATCAGAGACACCGCCCATCAAACTATACACATGAAACTTTGACACAGTCATTGCTGTATCAAACAATATGTGTATCTGGCGCTCCTGTGTCTGTGTTTCTCTTATAGCTCTTGCTCTCGCTTCTACTGCAGTGTCTCAGGTTTTGTAGCTTTTTATTAAAATACTACTCAAGTCAACATCAAACAAAAGAGAAGGCTACAACCTAAAACAATACCTAAATAGCCATTTAACTAAGGGTTGCCATTAACCTGCTGGTGACGTCATCCAAAGAGAAAGGTGTTTTTAGAGGCTCTTATTAGTTAGTTAAGCAATTTTGATGAAAGATTATGAATGCAAACATTTTTTGTTTGGAAAATTGTGCACTGATGAATAATTCACAATAAGACCATGAAAGTATTAAAGAGATAGTCCATCCAAAAATAACATTCTGTAATTGTTTACTCACCTTCATGTCGTTTCAAACCCGTACACTTTTGTTCATCTTCAGATCACAAATGAAGACATTTTTAATGAAATCTGAGAGATTTCCCTCCATTGCAAGTCTACCACTGTGACACTTCAAAACTTTCATAAAGAAGATTATACATTTTTTCTTTTAAAATTAAATATATAAACATTGATCAGCGAACAAACAGAAGCTCAACATGCTTGAAGCAAAAAAACTATGGAAGGTGGCCAAGGTCAAAAGACTTTAAACTGAACTAATGAAATTTGACGGTCAACATGCATTGTTTGTCCACATTAATGCAACAACATGCGCAGCAGTCAATAAAATTGCTGTATTTGAGACTATATTTGCAATGCAATGGTACAAAAAGTTAGTTATTTTTAATGGTACACTGGTATGCAAGTATGAAAAACTCAGACACTATATTTGTTCATCAGGGATAATGCATCGGTACGTTGTGTGTGATCTTATGTCATGTCCTTTTTAGTTGTTTAATTCAACATTCTTTCTAGGGCAGAAAAGTCTTGGTCCCACTTTATATTAAGTGGCACTAACTACTATGTACTTACATTTAAATTAATAATTTGATACTGTGCACTTGTTGTGTACATACATGTTTTTACATTGTACTTATATTTTGAAAAATACCTGCATGTAATTAATTTCTGTAATTACATTTATAGTTACACTGTTGACCCATCCCTTACACCTTAACCCACCCTTAAACCTACCCATACCACCAAACCTGTTCCTAACCTTACCCGCATCGCACCTCAATTGCAGCAAAAGTGTTTTGCAATACAATATGAACACAATAAATACATTGCACTTATTTTTAAGTAAGTACATAGTAGTTAAGGCAACTTAATATAAAGTGGGACCCTAAAGAAAGTATTAATATGTGGGTAAATCTAGAGGTAAATCTGCTTTAATAAGTATTGCATGTTTAAAAACAGCCAGAATGTGGGGATGTTGAGAGATACATTCAAATTCTTTGTCTTAACAGGGTAAAATTGTGCGTCTTTACACGTACTAAAGAAACATAGCGAAAACCGAGACTTTTAACATGGCCAGAATGTGTATGTCTACATCTACAAAAGAAACCGCATAATTTCACACATTCCATGTAAAGAGTTTTGGCTCAGCCTGCTTTCCATAGAAAACAAACCTCACTAGCTATGTTTCCATTAGGGCTGCACGATAAATCGCATGCGATATTTAATGCGCATCTTGTCAGAAAGCCGGTTCTGTAATCAGCGGTAAATCTCCATCACGTG